ATTTTGTTTCAAATTCATGGTATTTCTTTTCAGCAGAACGTGCTAATCACTGAATTACCTACTGTCGCTTTCTTTTCGGCTCTCAAAGATAGACCCAACACACATAGTGAAAGTAGTTAATTTTTAAATTTTTTTTTTAAATCTCAAATCGAAGCCGATCATTTTTGTTTAGGTTGTCTTTTATGCTCAATCTTGATCAAGTTTATTGTATTCATGCTGTTACTACTACTTGCGGAGAGCAAATTTTGGCGACGTTTGTAAGTTTATACAACACCTATGTGTGTGAACTCTCAAAATTGCCAAAAGAATTAATAAAATAGGTGAAATAGTGGGGAAAATGAACTCTTTGAACTTTTGGGGTGTTGATGAAACCCTTCTGAGGGATGCACCCGCGCATTCAACTCTCATTCAAAATCCTATTGACAGTTTGAATGCGTTTCGACCTAGACAATGACCAGCGCTGACCAGTTCATGTGAAGTCAGGGCTTTTATCATCCCATACGGATATCAAGCCGGAATTCGAACCCGTGACCATGCGTGCGTGATAGTGCGCCACTTGCCTCAACTCCACCTCCGCCCGAAGAGCAAAAATTATGCTTTTGTTATTATTTAGGTATAAACCTCATAATTCACTACAGTCAATGAAATATTTTGATTCTACGGAATGGGAACGCGAATATGGATCTGATGATGAAGTTTATTTTCCACTTGCTCTCTGGTTATTTTCTCACCAATATTCAAGAAAACAAATGAAACATTTCAGAACAGTGCCGAAAAGCCGTTTACGGTTCGAGGTGTTCCATTTCATATACGTTCGGGTGAAATTATAGGATTTCTTGGGAAAAGGAACGATACCATACCGACAGTTTTGGATATCGTTCGCAGACAGTCTACAATTTCCTGCCCTTGTTTCACAAGCTATACGGTTAGTCAAGATTTTTCATTTTTCTTTCTGCTTTTTCTAAATTTTTTCGAACGTTTTAAAGTCGCCAGGAAAGTAAGTGTGCAATTTTATAAAAATGAGAGGGGAAAATTAGCAAAAATGAATTTTATCGACCTCCGTTACTTGTCAAAACTGTTCAGACTGTTTGGACGAGAGTTGTAGTGGTTTTTTTCTTAGGTTACTTTGAAACTGTAGTGTATGCGATTTTTTTTGCAGAAAGTGGGTTTTTGCCCTCGTCAAGAATTCCTATATCCTTTACTCAGTCCCTACCGGAATCTCAAAGTAATCGCTGGAATTGCAGGCAAGTGACTCTCTTCTTTTTGTTCGAGCTTTTCTGTAGCTTTTTATTCGACAATTACTTGTTTACAGGCAGGCCTACAATCAAAAACTGCAAAATCGTAGAGGCCTCAACTGGGAATGAACCTTCTCTCCTCAGAAAACGAACACAGGCATCACTCAGGCACGTCCAGCGCAGTGAGGACAAACGGATGGAAATTGGCCAGACTTTCTGTATTGTATCATCCCGAGGCTTTCGTTCCCATCTCTGGGCACCTCCTTAACATCCCACTTCGGAGAGATCGAAAGATTACCTAGTGATTGATGACTACCGCCTGTTGCACGTGCCTCACTGATCATCATTTCTTTTCTTTTCTTCTGTAGAGTGTTCTCGCACGTGAGGGACTGAAGCTTCTATCAGGAAAAATACTTCTCTTTTCATCTATCCATTACATCCTTTATCGTGCTCTGGATTCTGGTAAATTCTTTTTTCTCACCCCTTCCCCTCTCCACCCTCCCTGCTTCTCCCCCATTTCCACCTACCATTCTTTAGAGACCGTTCAAGTCCATGATCGTTTATCCCAAACTTTGAATCCAATCCCTACTTATGCAAAAATCCCACGGCTTTTCAAATGCTTACTTATTGCACAGTCTATCAGCTTACAGTAGCTGTCTGCCACCTACGTCGACAGTGAATATTCCTAATATTACTCATTGAACTTCACCTAAATTCCACTTGGATCGTAACCAAGAACGTAACTGTGCACAATAATGTCGTTACCGTAAACTATTGAAATTCGTTTCCAGTGCCATGAACAGAAGACGAGTCAGTGTTGTAGCTGCAATGTTGTCCAAAACACCAGTGTTGGCATTTGAAATGCCAACAAAAGGAGTAGATGTCAGGGTAAGAAATCGGGTGTGAGGCTGGTCCCCCTTTGGAGCCATAAGTCTCCTTTATAGACTCGTCGTTTCACCTGGAGCGCAATGCGAGCAGCACAACGTGCAGGCCGGTCAATTCTATTCGCTACCGACTCCGCCGAAGAATGTGAAGTGTTGTGCGATCGTGTCGGAATCGTCTACAAAGGGAGTCTGCTAACTCTTGCCACTGTGGCACAATTGAAGAAAAGGTACTGCTTACTGCACATTTACTGGAAATTTAGGTTCTAGGAGAGCTCCATTGAACAAAACTCGAAAACCACCTGCGAATTGTTAGTTCCTTGAGTCAATGGCAATTATAGAGAAAGAGAAAAGGCATCTGTGAAGAGCAAGGCTTTCATGGAGTTAAAAAAGTTCAAATTGTTCAATTGTGAGGTCACTCCATGAAACCGTGCCCCTTATACGTACAGCGGCTCAGGGTAGGACACCTAGGCACCTGCTAGACTTCGAAGTTCGTGTAGTTCGGGCACCTAACCCAGATAATAAATCTTGAACCGGGATTCCGACAATGATAGAACGCACCTCCCTTCTTGCCGTTTTCCTTGAGTTGGAGCAAGGGTCTTCTGCTTGTGATTGTTCCGATTCTTGGATAATTGTTTTGCTACCACTCATCAAGAATCACTTCAAGCTTGTTTACGCTCTTTCACAAAAAGATTCGGCTAGGAAATACTTCCAATTTTGTAGAGATCATTATTGATCAATGTTACTGATTAGTGCAGTGATAATGCCCATGTATTCAGGTATGGGAACTTTGTTGTCATAGAATTGTGCCCAGCTACTCCCGAAGACAAAGAGAAGGTATTATCATATTGCTACAGCAAAGGAGGTCTGTCTTGGCAGTTGGCCTTACTGCTTCGGGTTTAGATTGTCGACACGATACGAACGACTTTTCCGTATGCATCTTCCCTACCGAATACATCTTCAATTTCTCAGATGCTTCGATGGAAAGTAAGTAAGCAAACAAGTAGTTCTGTTACTGTCAAATGATTCCATACCCGCTTTTCAGATACCGTTTCCTCAAGGCGAAAATACACCACAGTACCTGAACGCTCTGAAAAATCTTGTACAAATGCTTCCAATTCGGGAAAGTTGTATCATGCGGGCACCGTTGGGCGTAGTTGTACAGAATGCCACAGACGTTTTATCTGAAAAAGAACCACCAAGATGAGACAGGGAGAAGACCATGGGAATAGAACATTTTAACAACGAAATACAATTCGTTTAAAAATAAAATTTTATTTCAAATGATTGACTGTTATTACATGTGATGTTGTAATGATTACTACGTATGTTTCAACATAAAAAAATCCACCTGACACATTTGATATACACAAGCGTCGCCCTTATGCCTTACCACGAGCACTTCCAGAAGGCCAAAACGACAGGAAAGAAGTATCACGGTTATAATTCGAACATTGACTTAGTTGGTCCCAGCATTCCTCGAGAGTTGACGTCTCATTGAAGAATGGGTAGAACAGTATGGGAGGGTGTTTGAGTATAAACCACGAAGTACTGCTGAGCAACGGGCTAAGGAGTGTAGCAAGAGTGAGGATTGCGGCGGTGTACCCACGTATTCTCCATGATGGCTGAACCTCTAGAGCCCTTCATCGATCACTCCACTTACACCAGACCTTTTCCTGTGATCGTCACCATTGTGCAGGCTGAATTCAGCAGGTGGCCATGCAAATACCGAAGGACCCCAGAATCCGATTCCAAGTAAGCTGCTAGGAAATTCATAAGTTATTCAAGAAAAACCTTTTTCAAAAGGTCTACGAACTACTTTCAATCCCTTCAGAGCATGCTTGACCTCCAGTACTCCCTGCAATTCATTCAACGCAAAGAGTTGACTACATCAAGCCAAAACTGTCCAGAATTGCCTTTCACTGTCGTTATGGGTCAAGAAAATTCCTACATGGGCGCTTGTGAATGCTGCAGCCTATGCAATGGTGGTGAAACTCGTCCAGGGACACACGGTACAATCTTTGAGTCTCTATATCACCCTATCTAGAAAGTTCCCCGACCTTACAGCGCCACGTACGGTATACAAAGGGCTTAAAGATTTTCCTAGCGGGATAGTTCATAAGCCCATGTTTACCGTGAAATTTGCCTTTAAAGGCAAACTAGAATCTTTGCCCTGACTTAGAGGTAATTGGAATTTTTTTGTAAGTGGCCAGTCGAGGGGTACGTTTCAGTTCCTCGTGTTCAGCGAGTTCAACTAGCTGTTTTCATGTTTACCATATAATGGCAGGGGTTGTGATTGATAGCTATCATAACATCTTAACGGTTATCATAACAAAGATAGGCAGAAAAAACTCGTTTTCAGAGGGGTTGACCCATCCATGGTATCCATTTAGTTCTTCGTAACAGGGGCCGCTCCCGAACAAATTCATATGTACCTTGCAGTTCGGGAACCTCTCGGATCTTCCTATGATTTGATGATTTCTGTTTTGTAAACTATTCATTTGCTTTACATTACTGAAAAGAAAGCAAAATAATATTTAGAAAAATTCTGTTGCAGATGTTACCCTTACTATTACTTCTTCCTTTATTGGCGATGGCCAAGGATCAAGTAGAATCCAGACATTCAGTGGTACATCTCATGGAGAACTTCAATATCAGCAGTATGCTGGAAGGATTACCGAAGGTTCGGCTATTACATTTTCAATAGGATAACCAGAATTTACTGAAATCAATCACCTACCATGCCTTTCGACCCAAGGGGCGGCAAACCTGTACATTCGTTGAATCTGTGGCAAAAAAAAAATCTTTCTACGTCATGAAATTTTCTAACTCATCCCACCGATCTTCCTTTTCAAATAGGCGTAAAACCTCAGACCATTGGCAAGTGGATATCGACGACATTCTATCGATAGATTACAGCCTTAATAGCCAATTTCGTTCATTACAAAAGCATTTTAAAAGCACAATTCACGATCATTTTGAGGTACCTTCTAAAGTCGAAAAGCGGAAGTATTTGTTGTGAGCGCATCGGTGGTGAAGGAAACTAGAAAATCCGCCGATTTAATGAAAACTATGGCTCTTCAAAAGTAATGAAAATGTCGGTTGAACGTGCTTACCATGGTGAAAATGACATGGGGAATATTCGGACGAGATTTGTTGCACTGCGTAAGAGAGCTGACTATATCAAGCCAGAACTGTGCAGTATTGCCTTTCACTGTCGCTATAGGTTATGAAAAGTTGTTTGAACTTCCTACATGAATTCCCTTGTGATCGGTGCAGCCTCTACAAACCTGTTAAAGTCGTCCGAGGATACACAAGGTGCAATCTTTGAGCCTTTAACTCCTTAGAATGTTTGCCGATATCAGATTGCCACTCATGGTATACGAGGAGACCACAGACCTATCCTAGCAGGATACAGTACCGTTCAAAAAGAAATCACCTCGAACCTTTTTTGCCATAACTCATCTCGAACTCAATGTTTTTGACTGATTTTTTGACATGTTGTCAACAGTGATGATATTCAATGTCTCCATCCTAGAATTCACAAAACTCCTTTTTATTTCATTTAAGAGGCCACTTTTCAAATTTTTTTCTAAACAGGACAAAATTACGCGCCCATTGAAGTCGAGCTCGTCTAATTTTCAGAGATCCTGATACTTTTTGACAAGTCTTCCCCCATATATTTCAGCAACCCACAGGCGTCTGTTGATGGTACCTCTAGATGGTAGCGACGACGCCGTCGTCGATATTCCGGCCATTATATCGGAAGATGCTCGTCTGGAATCTTGAGTCGACGCACAAATGAGCTTCCTATCGTCCTCAAAAGCGCCAATCCGTAGCCTTCCCGAGCTGGCTCGCTTGATTGGGTCTACCAGAGACTCAATACCTCTGATAGCCTTTGTAATCGTAGAAAGTTGGTACAGCAAACAGCCTTGAATGTTGAGCGTGGGCCAACTCCTGCTTACTGCCTGTGGCAATGGTGGAGAGAGGCTCCACGGTTAGAAGGCGAAAGCCAGAGTTTCGCCTCTCCGCTTAGAGCGATCAGCTAACAGAACAAAAGAATCACCGACATTTCTAGACTCGAAAAACACAATGAAATCTACCCAAAGAACGTGCCCCTTTCGCAAGTTTTTTGAAAAAAAAAATCCAGCTCCTTGGCCGGAAGTGAGCTACCACCTATTCTGCATCGCAGGAGAGTCGGTAATGTTCGATAAGTGTGCTGTCAAAAAATCAGGTAAAAAGATTAAGNTTGAGGTGAGTTATGGCAGAAAAGGTTTAAGGTGATTTCTTTTTGAACGGTACTGTACCTCATGAGCTATTTTTATCGTGGACTGTGCCATTGAGCCTAACCTTGCGAGTTTCCAGGAAGGCCTTCTGCATAATGGTAAAAGAGCGGTTGAAAGTAGCTATCACATTGTCAAAAAAGTTCCATCTTCGGCTTGTTGTACCTACGAGGAATTCAATATAGGGCGAGACAAGTGGGCAGTTAGAAGCTTCTGTGCCTGATTGATGGAGCGACAGAATTTGAAATTTGGCCGTCTTTGTTTGATTAACAGAGACCGAGAGAAAACATTACAGTCAAACCTGATTTGGTTGGTCTTATCAAAGTGACCTTTATGAGATGGTCTACATGAATGAGCAGATTAGAACCGTGCTTAGGGCATTAGCGACCATTTCGAAATAGTAGTTGTAACAAGTAAACTACGTTTCATTTGGGTAACTCTTACTACATATATTTATGCTCCGTTATGTTTTTGAAAATTGAAACTTCTTTAATTCCCATCTCAGGTATGTAAAATCTAGTACTTTTAGCAGTAAAAGCATCAAGGTTGTAGAGCTCCATGCCCCAAATACAATTACAAGCATTTAAGCGAAAATGTAACGTCGGTTAAGGGTTAAAATTTAAGAGTTAAAAAACTCATGTTAACACAATACATTGTATTTTTAAATTCTTTTAAATTGTAATTTGATGCCTCATTGCATCTTTCACCGTTTGACTTTTCTAATTTCTTAACCTAAAATACATACAGGAATGTTGTAAGAATGGGAAGACATACAAGGAAGGAGAAGAATTTACGATTGGACATTTACGTTACAAATGTCAAAAGTATGGCGTATACTCGATAGAAGGCAAGTTTCAAATTCCACTGCAAAAAACACCCTGAATTTATTTATTCCCCATTTTCTGACGTTGATTACCACTTCATGTTTTTTCGCTTGCATTAATTTTGCTAACAAAGATGATTTCGATATTATTCGGCACTTTTCTGTCCATTTTGAAGACAAGGGAACTTCAATTTGCGAAGAAATTTCTAGTACATAGTTGTAGTCAAGCAACATAAAAAATTTAAAGGCGATATCGCCGAAACGTTAGCAAATAAATTTTTATAACAACCTCGTGGGAGTTCCAAGCAAGATCTACATCAATTCACAACAATGCCGAGGTTTATAGAAGCCAGAACGTGGAGATAAAAAATTTAGGTTGTGTAACGGAGGCAAAGAAGAATCTGAAAATTGGTCAAACTACTGTCGAGAACAATGTGAAAGCTCAATGCCTTGGAAAGGGAAATTCAGTTTTCTACAGAGAAACAGTGAGTATCTAGAGAATTAAACCTTTTCCTTTGTTTACACGAGAAAAAACAAATCGTAAGGCCAGCTTTCGAGATATCGTGAAAACATTTGAGCACGAACGGAGCTGAAGTTACAGGCCTTAAGTGAATTCATGCAGGAATCCAAGAGGACGAGTTCAAATCCCCAAGCTGAACAGCCTACCGATGGAAATTGACAAACTGATATAGATCCGATCTTAGATCCAAACCGAGGAACAAGAAATTTTCCATTCAGGGGGTGAACCCGTTTGCATTAGACCCGATTTAGGACATTGAATTGCTTCAATAAGGTCTTGCTTGTTGATCATCGATAGCCTACTTACAATGAAGATGGAGCACTGATTGATGGCTAGCTCAGACCTTGCGCTGGAATCCGATTCTGTTCAGAATCAGGTCCATGTCCGAGTCCTATCCATCAGAAGGAACCTAATTGAGATTGAAACACTTGCAAACGGACAGACGAGGTCGAATTGGTTACAGGCTCGTTCAAAGATCAGAATGGTTTTGTATGGGAGCCGAACCGGGTGGTTTAACCCGAGTAATTCTATTAGACAAAATGTTCTGTAAAAATCCCATAAACGGCCATTCACTCAATTATTGTGTCTGGACACCCTCTTTCTGGTTGAAATTAATGATTGCAAGTTGGCATCTTTTTCCACAACAACAAAGAATACTATTCATTATGCCAACAAATAAGGATTCAGGTTTGCGGAACAATGGGTCAACCTGACTGTGACAAAATCGACCTACCGTCGGGCTACAAAGAAGCAGTTGCTCGGGAGGAATCAAAGCCCAAAGCGAAACCGGTGAGCAGCTGACCAATATTTCAGCTATTTACTTAATATGGTATAATTATGATTCAGATCACCCTACCAGGTCTTCCACCAGGCTGGTCAGTAATTGATGAAACCCATCAGGATATTCCCGGGTCGGGTGGCCATTCGGTTGTGTCAAGGACTCTTATGTTTCAGCCAATAATCGGAGGCAGTTCAAGGTACGAGAAGTACTGCCTTTAGGCTTAGGAAACCTTCTTACTAGTAATGATCGATTCACAGGGCACGACGACAAACCGGTCATGGTGTTGGCTCAGTTGTTGGTATAGAAGATGTCGGAACTGACAAACCTCCCATGCCATTAAGTATGCAACTTAATGGTGGCAAGGTAATTCTCCTCAGTTCGGAAATGATCGGGAAAGTTGGGCTGTACGTCTGGGAGCCTTAATGGGGTTTAAAAAATTGTTTGTTCAGGCAACAAGTGGAAAACACGAGGCAACACAAAGTGGAAAACAAAGTGGAAAGCATCACAATGCAACAACCGTCCAACATGTGTCACGGACATTGAATATTGAGAATAAAGGGTTAGCAGATTCCCATTTTTGTTAAAAATTTAAAAATCACCTAAAAATAAAATCAATAAGGTATTATTAACAATTGTTCAGTACTGAACGCATAGTTGGAGTGGGAACTGGTAGCCGTGATCTTAACAGCAGAACTCCGACAATCTCGAATACCAAGGGACTCAAGGTAATTATTATTCGTTTTCCAACAAAAACTTCAAGCATTTATCTTCACACCTTATCTGAGTGTTGTACGGTAGTGAAAGCGACAACGCTGAAGTATAAACCAGCTCTCACGCCCTCAATCGCAATTTCGAGGTCATAAGAACCAGAGTATTGTTCATAACCTACGGTCTAGTTGATCGATTGGAGATCAATCGACGTTGCGGTAATGATCTCTATTTACCATGGAGTATCACTTTTTACCAATAGCCATGTAATGCTGGTTATTAATTAGTTGACTAAAGAAAAACTGCTGTGATCCCTTGCTCTTGCAGACTATTGAGCTCAGTGAGTCTACGGTTCTATCGGACACTTACCCTTACAAAACTGCTGTGATCCCTTGCTCTTGCAGACTATTGAGCTCAGTGAGTCTACGGTTCTATCGGACACTTACCCTTACCATAAAAGCCTCTCCAAGAATTTGTCCTCTTCATACTGTAAGTAAGCATGAAGTACGATTTTCAGCCTGAAACTGTGGTAGGATCTCGTTCCCATGTTAATTGGAGCGGACGAAAAGTCGTGGTTAATGGGAAAACCGTTGGAGTTGGAGAAGGAACTTTCACATTCGGCAATTCACCAACTGGAGCTGCAGCGAAAAAAGGACACTGATTGTTGTAGATCGATCAAATTCATGTATAATAATAAAAGTTCCTGATTCTGCTCTGTGTAGAACAGCTACAGCTTCCCTTTCCGTACACGTCTCCAATATAAGAATAACATAACGATTCTACGAAAAAAAAACTTTTAACCGCCAGCGAAAGCCGTACTAGCAGGTTACCATTGGAAATCCTTTCTACTCAGGACGTACAAGAATTCTTCAAAGATCCTTCTGTTATTATCAGGTCATCTAAATAGTGGCTAAGAGAAGCATAATATGAGCTTCGTAATATTGTAATACAGTATTTAATATGGGTTAAAGAAGCCTATCGGGCGGAGGTGGTATAGCGGCAAGTGGAACAGTATCACACAAGCATGG